TTGGATTTTGGATTTCTAAGCCCTTTCCCGTGTCCAAAAGGGGTTCACGAAGATCATAATATATTCTACGGCTTAGCCATGATGCCCACAAAATAGGTAATACAAAATAATCCATGGAACCGTGCGGTCCAAAGAGTCGAAATAGGCTCAAGGCAATACTGTGATTTTCACCCAATGATCTGTATGCGTCAAGGTTTGAGCACGGCAAGTGTGGAGCTTGATTGCTCATACAAAGATCATTTTATGATCCGAGACCCCCTTTGCCACAGCTCGGAAGCCAGTATTTTGGGTAAAAACCGAGCTCCTCACCCAAGCGGCCTGTCACTGTCAGTAGACGAATGGTTGGATGCTGTCCACGCGATGAGACGCAACTAGTGGGAATGCGCAACGAATGCCGGCAAATAAGTACGATTTGAACCTGCCTCATTCAGATAGTCGACGTGCTTTTTCCTCGTGGCAACCATTTGCCTTATGGCGAGTCAGTTTATTCAAATCATTTATCATCCCAGGCCCCGGATCACGCAGTGTGCACACCCTACAGGTATCACCAGCATCACCCATCCTGCAACGTTTAGGCAGACAAGACAAGCGTTGCTTGTTCATGCGAGTAACACCGAGGGACTGCCGCACACGAATTTCGACCCTTGAAGCCCATATCGCCGATCTGCCGTCACTGGGGATATTATGATTGCTGTCTTCCAGGACTTCCCGACACATTGCGTCTCTTTGACCAACATCACACTGCCTTTCTCCTGCCAAAAGCACGATAGTTAGTGTGCTACGCTAGAGGCTGTGCTCAGTCGTACAAACAACCGCAGATCCTCGAAAGCACCCTCTTTACATCGACGAGTTACCCAAGCGCCAACGCCCCACCCGTCTTCCTCAAAGTTCCACCTCCAATACTGAACGGATCTCCAGTACATCGAAAATCACTCACCCCATGATATTTTTGCTCTCGGCCTTCCTCGTGATATAGTCACAGAATGTCGAGCTTAGAGCCCGAGTCGGGCATTTGGTATGCTGTGTGTTGGGTAGTCCTATTTGTTCGGCTTTTGTCTAGAAGGATACATAATGGATCGTGGACGTTGTTGAAGATGGACGATTATCTCATCTGCGTTGCTATGGTAGGGCTGAAGGCTTGCAAGATCTGATCTCTCATGAGCTGACTTGCGTTCTAGATTACACTCACCATTCTTATGGCAGTCATGCACATTGTAGTACATACAGACAGTAATCTTATCGCGCCGGGCGAAGATATATCCCATTTCACCCAAAAGGAAATTGATAATCGAATATATGGATCGAAGCTCGTATTAGTAGTGGAGCAAATGCAAATCATCACTATATGGTTGGTAAAGAGTTGCCTGTTGCTAATGTATTGGCGCATGACGTACGTTCTTCCTCACCATCCTGCTCTCGATTCTGACCAGATACGCAGTGCATTGTTACCCCAACGCAAGGTTGTGATTGCAGTGTCGACTTATGTTGCTGTTGGATTTGTGAGTCCGATGTGTAAACTTACCTCCTACTCATATCTCTGACTCAAAGTGAAGGTTGTCATGGAAATTCTCTATCTTGGAGTGTGGTGTCGCCCTTTTAATCAGTACTGGGCCGTTCCTCCAGCGTCAAAACAGTGCAGTGCTGCAACCAACCACTTGATCACCAATGCTGTGCTCAACATTTCATCCGACTTGATGATCATCGCTATTCCTATGCCTCTTCTCTTCAAAGTACGATTACCGTTGAAGAACAAGCTTATCCTATGCGGTATTTTCATGATTGGCACTTTCACTGTATGTCTACTACATAATTTCCCCGGGAGAAATACAGGAGCTAACATGGACGAAGATTGTTGCCGCCGTACTCAACAAATACTATTCCTTCAATCACCCTTTTGGGACGGAATGGACGGAGTGGTACCTCCGCGAATCGTACACTGCCATTCTCTGCGCAAACCTTCCACTCACATATCCCTTCATTCAACGCGTCTTCAGGCTAAGGAGTTGGTCCCAAAATTCCCACCACGGCGGATATCTCTCTGGCTCCTATCCTCGTCTTACAACCCGATCCGGTCTACGCTCGCAACGGAAATCTCACATCCCTTTAAAAAGCGGTATATTGCAACACGGTGGTATTTCCAAAACCGTAAGCGTAAACATCAACAACTCGTATGCGGGAGATCCACAAAGACGAGAAAGTCAAGAGGGTATCAATATACCTGAGCTCCCAAGAACTTACGATGGTACCGCGGGCGGTCAACACTCGTGGATCTCGGCGGATTCAACGTCACCCACGAGCCCGGTCAGCCCCAGCCACAAGACCGCACACAGTGTGACGACTGCCAGTCTTAAAAGTGAGGAGGACCGCACTTAAGTCATTGTTTTTAGCGTGTAACCGTATATATCTCAATATATTATATAATGTATCAATTCACTACAGCTGGGGCCAAAAAATCTGCAAGACGCCCCTATCTTGTGTTCTCACATGTATAGAGTTCATATCGTGAGCGTGCATTTATTTCTATTGTTGATCTCTTCACTTTGCCTTTTTTCTCATGAAGATCTTTGTGAAATATGATCTGCTGGTGACCAACCGATGCCGACCACCAAAATTTAACTGGGCAGAGAGCATATTGGGTGAAGTGTAATGGTTGATTGCCAGCGAAAACGGTGCTTTGCATAGGACCGTGACATCTGACAAAAGCACTCAAAAAGCTGTAACTCGGGATGCAACTACAGATTTGGACGATAGGAAAACCCTATTGATCCTTCGCAGCCCTAAATACCGGTGAGCTGGCACGTGGGTTGCCAACATATCCGTCGGTCGTGTAGCGAGATACCAAGGCGAGGCAGTGCCAGCGGGGCGCAGCACACCCGGTTCACCGAACGCTGATCGTGTCAAAATCTACCGTCATCAATGCTGAAGTTCGCCTTACTGTGTATAATCAGCTGCTTAGATTTTTACTCTTTCCGGAAAAATCAATATCGTATTCAATGGCCAAAGGTAGTTGTGTGACTTGTTTGTAGCTAAGCCTTGCTGTGGGGGCCAGCGCGTCGCACAGTTTTTCTGTGATACTTAAAGTCAGAAGTTTGCTGGCAGGTCAAATACAGGATTCGGATTCAGAGCACATTTCATGTTTCAAATCGAGCATAAAAATGACACTTACAACATACCAGCTCATCCATGAGCGCCACACATTTCACTCCGACAAACTAGTAATTCAACCCATCGCCAACCAGGATGGATTCCCACCCACAGACGTGACACGCTATGCCACGATAAGATACAATTGCCTCTACCTATTCGAAGGCCATATCAACGGAAAACTAATAGCCTCGACACAACACCCATCAAACAAAGCAAAAATCAAGATCAAGATCCAGAACCCATCGGAGCAAGTCGAACTCCAGCACTCGTGGGTCCTCGCCGACCCTTATGGCCAAACCACGGAGAATCCAGTTCCATATAAGAGCCTCTGGAGGTCGAAAATCAAAGATGGATCAAGGGGGTGTTACTGTGGGCAACTCAGCAATGGGACGCAACTTCGGTGGGAGTCTGTGGGCGCCAAGGATACCGTCAACACGACGAATGTGAAGATGCGATGCGTGGTAGTCGGTGCGCAGAGCAAAAGCGGAGACATTGTGGGGGAGATGATGAAAGGCAATGACGTGATACGATTGATGAATCTGGAGGGTAAACCCAGTGAACTTGGTGTGTGTGTTATGTTGGGGTTCATCAGTTTGTATGAGCGGGCCAGGCAGAGAGATAAGAAGAGGGCAGATTTCGAAATAGATGCCGACTTCTTTATAGATGGAGGTGGTGGTGATGGCGGTGATGGTGGCGGGGACGGCGGCGGCGGCGGCGATGGAGGAGGAGGAGGAGGAGGAGATGGCGGTGGCGGTGGGGGCAGTTGATGTGTGTCTAATACTTGCGTTCGATTCTCCACTAGACTCTTGTACGTGTAATGAATTGGGAAATTGCAAACGAGGTAGGAGATCATAAATGTGTCTGTATGTCTTCAAATGATCCAACAAATGTCATAGAATACCGTCGGGCAACCCGATCCACTTTCTTTCACCCTTGGGGGCTCTAATATATCGTTTGGTGACCCTGGATACTGAATTTCTTGTCTCCACAACAACGAAATCGTTCAGTTGAGAGAAGCGAAGAAGATAATGAATGTTGTAGAAGATGAACGCCTCAACCTCATCCACCTGCCACACGTCATCGATAAGCTCGGCCCTCAAGTTTCTGATGTTTTCTTTTTCATTCGGTTCATAGATGTGGCAGAGTATCATACCCCTCATCTGTATGGTATCGTATTCGAAATTGACCCAGACATAGCGCGGTGATCTCTCGAGGATGAAGGCTTTCCGATAATTGCAATATGTGCGGGATTCGCGGCATGCTCTCGTTACACCTGGCGGTAGATCCGGAGACCAAAATCCTTTTTCTCCATCCACATCGCCTATACATCTGTTGACATGGACAATTCTATCCGCTGTCGCTAAAGCCCATATCTGAATACGGAGCTCGAGAGGGAGCCGGGGAAAGAGATGGAAGGTCGCCATCTGGTCCAGTAACAGTACTTTCTCCTCGTTGCGTTCTCGCGGAAATGATAAGAAATCCTAATGGTTTTGGTGCTATAGATAGCTCCTAGGAGTGTCGAAGAAAGGTGTCGTGTGTCCCGGTAGTACGCCCCACAAGTAGGTGGGAGTTGGAAATAAGGTCTGTAGGATACGTCAAGATAGGGCCATTCGGTAGCAAAGTACAGCTTTGTAAATAAATGAAAATGCAAAACAACAGTGTGTGATTTTAACCTCTTTATAGTGTTTGTAAAGGCTTGTGTCAGGGTGGTTTATTCTGACATTTTCGGCCTTAATTCCGACTTTCGCTTCCCAGGAATGGAAGGTTGAAGCTAGCGGGAGCACTTAGCGAATAAGTATTTTTCACAATATAATAGACATATTCCTAAAATTTTCCCATATCACAACATTATTGGGCGTGTAGCTCAGTGGTAGAGCGCCCGCTTTGCAACAAGCGCTTTCCAGCGTTGGTGAAGTCTGCGGGAGGTCTAGGGTTCGATCCCCTACCCGTCCATTCGATTCTTTTTTGCTCATTTCCCCCTCTCCGAGTCTACCGTGTCATGTGTTGAGTTGTTGCGGGTCCTCTTTTTGTAAATTTCGTTTTTTTACGCTGACAAACACCCGGAAGGGAAGGAGGGGACGACTTGGCAGGTACAAATATACCGGCGGAACCTCGGCCCTACCCAATGTCGAGCTTCCCCCACATAAACACAACAACAACATACATTGCATGGACATGACTACATCAGCCGACGGACCACGATGAGGGTATCTAGACTATCTTCATGGGGGACGGTTGGCGTTTTCGTGCTGCTCATGGGAGCAGTACATGCCTCGCTTGGTGACCGATTGCCTGAATTCAAGCATTGTGTAGCAGTGAGTGACACGCGCGTTATCTCTTCAAGCTCGCAAGTCTGACCATTCCCACTAGACATGCAAGGAAGCCAATTGCCTAGAAACACCGACCTCAATTCGTACGCCTAGACGCATAACACACTTGTACTAGAGTATTGACACTATTGCCAGCCCTACACCGCCGCCTCCTCCTGTGGGACTGCCATTCCGAATGCGACTACAACTGCCAACATATCGTGACCGCGAAACGCCTGGCCCGCGATCCACCATACATGCAGCCCATTTATCAGTTCCATGGGAAGTGGCCGTTCTACCGCTTTATGGGCATGCAGGAGCCCTTTTCCGTCATATTCTCTCTGTTCAACTACCTCGCCCATTCATGGGGTTTGTCGCAGCTGCGCGAGAAGATCCCCGCTTCCTACCCGCTTCGCAGATACTATATGTTGTTTGGGTACTTTGGATTGGCAAGCTGGGTGTTCAGCATGGTGTTTCACACGCGGGACTTTGCGGTCACGGAGAAGTTGGATTACTTTGCCGCAGGAGCAAGCGTCCTTTACGGCATGTACTTCACGGTCGTCAGGGTGTGCAGACTCGACCGTAGGGAGGATCGCATGCGGCAGTCGCTGCTTCGGCTGTGGACCATGACTTGCATAGTCTTGTACACTCTCCATGTTGCGTACCTGACGCTGTGGCGCTGGGATTACACGTACAACATGGCCGCGAACGTGGCTGTCGGGTGCGTGCAGAACCTCCTGTGGAGCGGCTTTTCCTTTGTCAAGTATAGGAAGGTAGGCAGGGTGTGGGCTATGTGGCCCGGTTTGATAGTTGCATGGATTCTTCTGGCGATGAGTTTTGAGTTGTTAGATTTTCCGCCTTGGGGAGGTATGGTGGATGCACACAGTTTGTGGCACTTGGGCACGGTTGGGCCTACGATTTGGTGGTACAAGTATGTTGCTTATAAAGTTTCTTGTCCCTCCTACAGGTTCTGCTGGAGAGAGCGAATTGCTGACGTTGAAACAGCTTTCTGGTTAAAGACGCTCAGGAGGATCTTGCAGGGTCAAGACTCAAGCGGTAAAAAAAAGCATGGGTCATTAGTATGTGTGCCGAAACTCATTGCCATTATTAAAGTAGATTTGCCAATAGAAAGGGGATTGTCATCACTGTTTGCTTGTGCATTGATTCGACCGCTGGGATGGATGGGTCTAAATGTATGATGAGTTTGGGCAGGCAAAGAATGTATACGACAAGTTCACGCGCAGACAATGAACTTACCGTGCACAAAAAAAATCGTTGCATATTCCGTATCAGAGTTCATCCGCCCATTCTCGTGCGTTATATGAGTGTCATCACCTACCTAATCGCTGTATTTACGGTTCTTTTGTCTTTACAATTCTATGCCAAATCCAATGCTCCCCCTCCCCCCCCTCCTCCTCATCTTTATCCGTGATATTTGATATCTCGGGTGGGGTTTTTTTTTTAAATGACCTTTTATGTCAATGAATCTATTGCTGGGTAGTTTTTTCTACCTAGACCAAAAGGAAAGCAGAAAAAAGGGCATTGAGTATTCCCTCGACCCTCCCACCCACCACCTACTTCCTCATCTCCCGATTCACGCACTAACAACGAACTCAACAGTAAAAGCCAGTCAGTTTACTAATCATAGCTACCCAAAACCAACCCCCCCCCCCCCCCCCCCCTCTTCTATTAGCTAATCTTTTCTCTTCTACTTTTGTTCCTCCCTCCCTCACACCTCACTGCGCGATTGTTACGTATCCCATTCATTCTCCGTTCCCTAACCCAACCCCCTTTCTTCTATCCACAGATTCGCTGTTCAATTGATTGACTCCAAATGACAAGAAAAGTCCTCCATTATTTTCTCGCATTGTCCTTCGGCTTAGCATACCTACCTACCTACCTACGCTACCTGTCCGCTGTCCACCACCACACGTGAGTGCGCATCTTTGAGCTCAACTTGCTAAGAAGATAGAAGCATGTAACTATAGAGATTGTGGATTGTACAGTCAGGTAATCAAAGTTCGTTGTTTTGCGTTTAAAAAAGGTACCTACCGCATACTCTTCTCGTGTTGTGTCTGTATTTCTTTTCTTTTCTTTCTTCTTTTTTTTTTTTTTTTTTTTTTTTTTTTTTTTTTGTTTTTTGCCATCTTGCCGCGCTGCGCATGCTTATTAGATGAACGCGAAAGATAGATAAATAGAGATATAAATCTTCTAGCATAAAATAAATACCTCGTATTGTGAAACAAAACAAAAAACGTACCTATCTATCTCTTACCAAGACTTCCACCACAAATTGTACGTATCAAAACTTCCGGTGTTTTGTTTCTTCCTTTAATTTTTTTTCTTTCTCTTTCTCTTACTCTGGATGCATGCACGGGTTAAGTTCCTAAGTTCCCGGGTAACATAGGTACCAGATATTACTTTGGTACGTATGTACTTAACGGTAGTTAAGGAGAGAAGGGATAAAAAACACGACGATTGTTAATTTATTTCAAGCCAGCAGTTCAGTAAATGAAACATAATGCTGTCTAACCAATTGCAATCACTTTGTGGTCTCCTTTTTTTTTATTTTAGCTTATATAGTTTTGTTTTAAATGTCGCTGTCCTCTCTACATTTTTAAAGCGGGCAGAGAAAAGAAATACAAGAAACGAACCACCCTAATAACTCTATATGCCAAAAAGTCCATTACTGTACGTTTATTCTAGTTAAATAAATACCTCTTCTCCTTGCTATACAATTGCCCTTCTTCTCGTATATTAATCACCTCGCCGGGGAACAAACCGCTCCCCCCTCCCCCTTACATATTTGATTCATAACGGACTTGTTTGATTTTGACTAGATGAACTACTTCTACATAGCTAGTCTCCCTACTTCCACCTTTCTTGTTAATAGCTTTCTGAAGTCTCGTTGTTGTTGTTGTTGTTATGCAGAATAAACAATCGTCGAGGCGTTGGTTGGTTGGTTGGTTGGTTGACGTGGGCTTGTTCACTTAAGGAATGTAGAGAGAGAGAGAGAGAGAGAGAGAGAGAGAGAGAGAGAGAGGGCAGATTATGTACGTATTAACAAACTCATGTATTCTATTAATTAAGCGTTATAAATGAATCTCTTGTAGGGAAAAAAAAAACATCACCTACTCAACTTAATACATACATCTTTTCCTTATTTCAATAACTAACGCAAAGAAGACTATATGTCACGAATACAGTATTCGCAGCTCTACTTACTTATGCACAATACATCGTAACAATCACTGTTGGCCCCCCTTCCGCCTTTTTTAGTTATATACTTATTTTAGATTTTTCTTTTTGTTTAGGCATAGTACCTTTTATTAATCTTACTATAATAATAAAAAATTAAACAAATATAAGAATAATAATGCAAAGTTGTAGTATAGTGCTATAACTAATAATCAGTAACTTTAAAAGAAAAAAAAAACAAGAAACAGAAAAGTTCTAAAAGTAAAAAATTTCCAAGCTAAAAAAGAATGCATTAATCTAAGTAGTTAATATACTATTTTATATAGATAATTAATTATCTAGATATAAAATTAAAGACTTAGGTAGTTATATACATAGTTACTTTATATAACGTAGGTCACAAGTAAGCTAATTACACAAGCGAGCTAATTACTCTGCTAAGCCTGCACTAAAGTATACTATTAACTAATAGTTTCTTTAATATTTTAATAACCTACTTAGCTATTAGAACTAAGAGAAGCTAGAATATAGCTTATACTTTAGGCTATTAATGTCACGGGCCCATCCACATAACCCGGCCGGGTCCGGATTAACTATGTTCCGGGCCCCAGACACCCCCATATAGGGCCCTCTCCTTCACCCACATAGCCTATAGCTCCGAATCTTACCTATACCCTACTAAGACCCTTACACTATTTAGAGCTCTCGTTCTGTCCTACAATCTAAAAAGGCAGAAACCTACCTATTTATAGTAGAGAACCTAGGAAGCTAGATTATAAGTAAGAAGGCTAGTTCTTATATTAGGTAAGAGCTTTAAGTCTAAGCTAGAGGGCGCGTAGGTAGAGGCCGCGCAGGAAAAGACTTACACACTAGGGTAATTTGCTAGCGCTATATATTAGAGCTAAATTATTCCTTATGTTATAGTATTCTCCCCTAAACCTAATATAATAAGATAATTAACTTTTACTATATTTATTACGTTTAGTTATCCTTCTCTAACCTAAAACGCTCCTAAATTAAACCTATTACGTATGTAACTAATAGCTATATAGCTAATTCCTAGTACTAACCTATTTTTAATTAGCGTTTAAGTCTGTACTAACGTATAAACTACTCTCCCTATATATTTTTTTTACTTCTTTACACTACTTCTATTCTATATATAATATTTTATAATCTATCTAAAACTACCTAAGTATTATACGTAGTAGTAATAGATTAGTTATATAAAAGATAGCTTTTTAGTATCTTTGTATTAAACCTAATTAAAACCTACCTATAGCACTTTTATAATATTACGTTATATTTCTTTTTAAGCTAAAAATAGCTACTAAATCTAACTTACTATAATTAATTCTTTTTAAACTAGCTATAATTAAAGCTAGCACTATAATATATATTAAGTTATTATAATAAACCCTTACCTAATAAAAAGCTTAACACTAT